AATTTCTATTTATGTGATGATAAAAATTTATAATATATAATATAGAAATAGAAAAATGAATAAGTATATTTAGTTCTTTTTTTCCTTCCAACTATAGTACTTAAATGAGTATAATTTATTCATTTTCCTGTCTATGTCATTTTCATTTTACCTTTTGAACGAAAACGTCGTTGTTTTCCTTTCGTTCGTACAAGCACCTTGTCTTTGTCATTATTTTAATCATTGTCCTTATTTTCATCGTATCTTTCCCATCCCTCCCATCCTTTTGTTTTCTCTCTGTCTTCAATTGCGTGGATATTTTGTTCAGCGATATTTTGTTCAACGATAGACCTGTTGTTGTTGGTGGGTTTCTTTTTTTTCGATATATTTCCTATTGTTCGGGTCATGGAAGTGTATGCATTTTTTTGACTTTTTTTATATGAGGATTTTATTTTCAATGTGCATACTCTTAGTTATGTTTCCAATTTTATTGAATTGATTTTTATGGTTTCTTTCTTTCAGCAATACAATGAGTAAGCGATATTGGACACCTACATCTGCACAACTTCAAGTTCTTGAATATATATTTAATCAAGAGAATAAAACCCCAAACAAGTCAAGGATCATGCAGTTAGTCTCCGAACTATCGTTGCATGGGCAAATCTCTTATATGAATGTTTATAATTGGTTTAAAAGTAGATGTGCTCGTTTAAGAAGGATGAACTTATCCACACAAGCACATGATTCTGAACTTGTAATTCAGCCAATGGTACAAAAAGATAAATTGCGTAAGAGACATATAGGTATGATTTGTTATTAAAATGTGAATATATATGCAGTATGCATGTCGCAAAACACTTGCAGACAGCTGGCCTCGTGTTAGAGGAAGGTTTGCAAAGAATGATGAACTTGGAGAGGCTGCAAGAACTGCTGGCAGCAACCATGAAGAAGACACGGATGAAGATGTAAGTCTGTTTGCTAATCAGATTCCTCATCTCCAAGGCAAGATACGATTGCATATTTTGCAACATAACCTTCTTCCTTGTACTCGATATGAACGAACATATAACTTATGTTTCGAACTTCGCACGCATGGAATGCTTCGTAAAGCATCTTCATACTGATTCGACATGTACCATTAAAGTATTGATTTCTAAGACGATCATTTGTATCATTAATGTCCATGGATGGTTCATGGCAAGGTAATCCAGTAATAAGACAAAATTATTGCATACCAAATCTGGCTACACGATCGTCTAACTTACCCAAGTTTCATCATTTTTCCCACAATTCACAAGCCTCAATATAAATTCATGCACCAACCTACTACTAAATTGTACATTTTTTCCTTTGTAGAAATCTCCATAAGGAAATCCATAAAAATTACTACACATCAACGAAAATTGCTTATTCGAATCTAAAAATCGTACAAAGTCTCTAAGATATTTGAAATTTGGATACTGGACAATTGTAGCAGAAAACCATTGATCAGGAGAAATTATGTATTCTAGAGACATCTGCATAAATTATTCCAAAAATCACATTTTATTTATGAATGAATCTAAAAATTAAAAACAAAGAAACATTTTTTAAGAGTTCCAAATAAACATTATATCTTCATAACCTATACATGCATAAATATTTTAAAATCGATAATAAAATATCTTATGTTCGTGTCTAGGCAATTCATGACATGAAATTATGCCTCGCCTCCGTGATTATGGAGACTTGGCCTCCATAATCATGGAGGCCTTGACCTCTATAATTACGGAGGCAAGGCCTCCGTGATTACGGAGGCCAACGCCTTTTCTCCATATGATGGAGGCCTCTGCAAGGCCTCCATCATACGAAGGCCTTGTTGCGGCCTCCGTAATAATGGAGATCCATTAAGGTTTGGGTCTCCATAATCACGGAGTTCTTATGGGTAAAATTATTGCCCATACACAGATCAGTGCAGATATATGTAAGTTTCTTCGATTGTAAATTTTTAAGTAAAATTGTTACCTTTTCCAGCCAATTTTAGAGCTTCTCCTGTTTAAATCTGCAGAGCATTTCTCTTGAAAATGTAGAGATTTCTGGGACTAAAAGTATAATAAATGAGCACAAACCAACCACAAGATAAAAGGCTGTTGCATATGAGTTGTATATTATTATTGTTTTATGCATTTGGTCAACAATCAATGAAGTATTTTTGTTGTGTTATGAAATACGAACTATTCACATCTTTTATGAAATACGAATCTCAAATCTACGTCTTGTCTGAATTCTTTAATTTCATACACAAAATCATACATCAACATATTCACGTGTATTTAGATATTTATTACAATTCAATTTATTTAAGCTAAATATATAACTGAATTTATTACAATGAAAGTTTGTAGCATGAATACTTTTTCCTCGGTGAATACAACTTAGGGGGTGTTTGAGTCACATTATTTCAAAAAAATACATTCTTAAACAGTGATTTGACATCATTTCAACCACACATTCTTCAATAAAATAATATTACACGAAGATCAAAAAATTTTCCTTATTTTTTACCACACATTTCCCATCAATACACTATTCAAGAATGCATTATTACCAAAATAATGTGACTCAAACACCCCCTTCATT